ATTTAAACTTTTTTAGGGAAAATGTGCTATGCATGTGAAAAATACCCCAGTAGATTGAAAAAAGAATATCAAGATGGAATAAAAAGAACTAAAACACAAGCAAAGTGCAATCCTTTAGAACAAAAATACCTTCCAAACAATAAATGAGTTTTAAAGACTTTAAAGAAATTTCTATTAAATCATAATAAGATATATGGTAGATTCATATTGATGTCCTAACATCTCCGTAGAAGGCAAAAAAACATTCAGATTCAAGCGTTATATTTTGATGTCTAATTTTTTTAAGATCTGAGCACTTTAAGACTCAATCTTATATTTTAGCCCAAAGTTAAAAAATTCGATTCATATGAGAAAATAGTTCAAATAATTGTCTTCATGAATCTACTAGAAAATAAAAAGATTTTCTATGTTAAATCCTCCCAGATCCGAGAGAAAGGATTACCAGAGACAAACGGCGTGAACATATAGCCAGTCGATAGACGACCTTCTTGGAGACGACCACCATCTCTACATCTCATCCAATATCAGATCAAAGAACATGACTTCTAGATCGACGCTAGGAGAAAAGAGACACCACACTCTTAAGAGATAAGAGCGGCGCAAACGATAGAGAATGGGATTGGGGAATGGCGATAATCGGGAGCGGGGTAGATGGGCTCATCCGGTTAGGTTAGCACCGTTTATCTAATCCTTTCTATTCCACCCATTATGAACCTCTTACTAATTTAAGTTGTTTATTTGATTACAATATTTTATTAAACTTATTTTTATTTATAAATTGATGTAAAATTAAAACAATAATAATTATATATGTAAATTAAAAATTATATTAGTTTTATAAATGAAAATATGAAATTATTTTATCAATTAGTAAACAAGACATTTAAATTAAGACAGAATACCTTTTTCAATCAATTCTTTACGAAGTTTGATTAAAATTATTTTTCATTCAATTTATTTCAAAATTTGCATAAAATTAAAAAAAATTACACTAAAAAATTAAATAAAAAATTTACAAAACAAGAGGTAACAAAACTAAACTTATTTTACTATATCAAACAAATAACAAAAATGAGTAAAAACATGATTAAAGTTTGATAATATAAATGATAAACAGTCAACTTAACTTGAGACGGTAATAGTAATAAATTTGATTCAATAAATTTAATTTGTGAGGTTTTAAAATACTAAATTCGTGATGAAAAACAATTACTAGATCATACAATTAATATTTTAAGACGTTTCCAAACGTTAATAATCTCTCTACCTAAATTTGATTACAAATTGAGATTTACAAGGTAAAACGATGAATTTTTTGAAATCACTTTATTTACAAATTTTTTACATCAATAAAAAATAAAAAATACATATTTAAAAAGTACATCAAAAGTTCTACAAAATAAGAAGTAACAAAAATATTTTATTTTATCAAATAATCAACGAAAATACATAAATAAACAAAAGTTATCGAGAGGAGAGAAAAAAGATTGCAATCAATTTTAGAACTCATGGAGTATTATAGTATTATTTCCATTATTTTTTTATTCTAAAATCATTCATAAGTATTCAAATTATTTTTTTACCATGGGTAGGTAAAAGAGTATAAATGTGCCGGGTTTTTATTGGGTTAGGCGGAAGGACGGGGCTGGTAGGTTGAGTTGGCTGAAATGAGCATTGAATCTAAAAACAATACTCATACGTATAGTAACACCTCAATTTAAAGGTTTTTTGTACAATTTACTAAGAAGTTAAATAGTAAAATAAGTAGCCTTGGTTTAATAATTTCCTTTCCATACTTCACTGAAAAAGTTTATGTTGGGATGAATATTTTTTTTTGTATAACATCAAATTTTTAAAAATTTAGAAAGAAGTGGAAAAAGATTTATAAAAGTTTAATAAAATTAAAAGAGTTTGAAAAATGAAGTATTGATAAAAATATTATTCTTTAAAATTTCATATTTTTAGTAAAGAAAATTGCATTTCATTTTTTAAAATTTTATCTTACACTATTTCTCTTTCTAATCACAGTTTTGTGAGAGAATTCAAATGAGTAATAGTTTTGTCACTCACTTTTTCACATAAATAAACTTTCTTCATTTTCACAATAATATTTCATATCCAAAAACACTGAGTTGAAATAAATTTGAAATTGCTAGAAAATGTTACCTTATATTCCGTAATTTAATGACTAGAATCTAAAAGAACATCACGTAAGTGTTTTAAGATAAATTCTTAAATTACAAAGAGCATTATATATATGAGTATGTACAATTTTCACAAAATGATAATTAATAAAAGTATAAAACTCAAGAACAATTCGCATTTGTGCATGTACACACACTACTAAAAAACTCATGCATTTTGATTTATTATTAACTGTACGTTAATGATACGTTATTTGTATTAATCTTTCATTCTTAAAAAGCATGATTCGAGTGACGTTATGTATCGTTGACAATGTGGTGCCACTTCTGATTTCGAACATCTATGATGCTTCATCTGTAAAATTGATGGTTTCTATCTTTAAGTATTTTAATCATTTCCCTTCTTCAAAATGTTCGATGATTCTTTAGTCAATAATTTGTCCGTGCAACGCACGGGTACGAGTCTAGTATTAACAAAAGTACTAACCTTTAAATCATGAAAAATTACATCTAGTGATTCGGCCCCCTAGCATGAGCGGGAGCATGATAAACTGTTATCGCTCTCAATTTTAGCATAAAAACCAATGACCTGTCATCAATATTCTTTACATCCGTTAACAACCATACTTTTACTCGAAGGACAGAGCTGAAAACGCATATCAAAGAGGCCAATTACGAAAGCGGTAGAGAGTTTGAATATTTTTGTTTTTTTATAAGGACGTTTATTTTTTTCTTAATTTTCGTAAAATCGTAGTGAGCATACTAAGTCATTTTACATGGCAGTATGACTTCATTACCATTTCTAATTTAAACTATTCTATTACCGTGGATAATTTTTGGCATAATCTATAATTAAATCAATTTACACGGAAATATGATTTCATTACCATTTTTAATTAAAATTTATTTATTACTGTGTATAATTTTCTAATTAAAATTTATTTAGTTTTTTCCTTATTTTTGACCGTTTATTTTTTTCTTTATTATCGAAAAAAACCTAAGAGCCTGGCCATTTAAAAACATGGAAACTTATTATAATAAATTACTTTGATATTTTTATGGAAAAGACGATATCAGCAATAAATATTATTACCTTTATCAGTATTATTAGTATTATTCTCATCATTCACCTTTATCATTATTATTATTACCTTTATTAATATTATTAATATTATTTGGAAGTTAAATTATTACCTTTATTAGTATTATTCTCCTTATTATTATTATTATCATAATTACTGTGTATATTATTATTATTACCATATATACATTATTAAATTAGCTTATTAATAATAATAATAGATATTATTAAATTATATTATTATTTTATTCTACATGGTATTTACCTTTTTTCTTTTACACAGTAATATATATGATGGTACCGTAGTGGATATGTTAGTATTATTTACACACATATATATTACGGAGTAGCAATTACTATTATTATCTTTATTAGTATTATTCTCATTATCATCATCATCATCATCATTATCCTTATCATATACACATTATTCTCGTTATTTTAGGCCGTTTATTTTTTTTCTTTATCACCGAAAAAGCCTAGGAGCCTAGACATTAAAAAATGGAAACTTATTATGATAAATTACTTTGATGTTTTTATGTGAAGGATGATATTAGAAATTAATGTTATTACTGTTATTTGTATTATTCTCCTTATTATTATTACCGTATATTATTATTATTATTATTACCATATAGACATTATTATATTACCTTATGAATAATAAGTGTATACATTATTAAATTATCTTATCATTTTATTCTACACGGTACTTACCTTTTTTATTTTACTTGGTACATGATTTAACATTCAATAGTTACCATTTCGATTAGGGGTGTATACGAATCGAATCGAAGCAAATATATCACTATTCGATTCGTATTCGATTAAAGTGATATGTATTCGAATTCGGATTCGTATATAATTTGAATTTTAAAAAACATTCATATTCGATTCGATAGATATTTGACATATTTGAATTCGTATTCGAATATTCGAATTCGAAAATATTAGTAGTTTTTTTCTTAAAACAAATTTCTTAAAGACATTAAATTATTATTTTATAATAATGTAAAATGTAGTAAAAATTAAAATGTAGTAAAAATATGTTAGAATTTATATAAATTTATTTATAAATTATAATATTTGAATATATATAAATTTATATGTACACAAATATTTAATGTATTAGAATATATATAAAATTATTTATAAATTATAATATTCGAATAATTTGAATAATAAACGAATCGAATCTATTAATATTTGTATTCGAATTCGAAAATAATTCGAATCTAAAATATGATTTGTATTCGGATTCGAATTCGAATATAGCAAATACGAATCATCTTTTTCGAATACGAATCACGAATCGAATACATTTTATTTGATTTGTATGCACCCCTAATTTCGATATGAGGAAGGTTCCCATGACACTGGAAACTAATGTCATGGGATGGCCTGAGAACGCTCCGGTGCCCGTTCGTAAAATTGACGGTTACTACCCCTCCTAACCCCCGGTAAACCTTCCAGCCCGCCCCGACTCCTATTTTCTCTTTTCTAATTCCATCCATTTCTTTCCGGGTAAATTTCACAAATGATACCTGAACTTTAGCTGGAATTTCGAAGTGGTACCTGAACTTCAAATCCTTTCACAAAAATCCCTGAACTTACACAATCCTTTCACTAATGAGCCATTAGCCCGTTTCTAGGTTAACTTCCGGTCATTAGGGCCAAATTCGAATTTTATATATTTTAAAATTTTCAATTTGACCCCATTTCTTCTTTTCTTTTCTTCCACGCCCCGCCGCCGCCGCCCG